ACATCACATTTATCGACTCAACTTTGGTTTGGCGTTTATTCGTAAATCCGTGCGTCTTTGCGGTCTGTTTATGTTCCGGTTTCACGACGCCATTTAAATAGCAGTTTTTCTCCCGCTTTTTTATTTTTACATAATGATCGGTTTGCCGGACTGTCGCGATCGAAATTCGCTCGTCGCGAAACACCGCGGTGCGAATATTCATAATCTGCACAGCGCGAAGACTCGCATGGACACTGGCGCGCCACATGCCAAGCGTGGAGGTATTGCTTATTATTATTTATCGTTATTGTGTTATCTCGGTCGTCACGGAAATTCGAGACACCGATCTAAAAAATGTAGAAATACGACGACTGAGAATTATTTACAGCAGTTGTTATTAACATCTACTTTATAAATATGTTTATGGGGAAAATGTCGCACTCTTCTCTTCTCCCTTCGAGAGGCTTGAATTCTGCAACGTGTGTTTAGACTTCGTTGTTTTTAATTCTAGTTTTACTGTCTGCCTCTTCTTTCAGAGATGGAAAATTAAATACGAAGTAATCGACGTAGCAAAAATATAGAAAAAAAATGAGAAAAAAGAATATTTAAAGAAACAAATAATGTCTTTCGTTTAAATCTTCTTTTCTATATTTATTTCAGATATTTATATGTAAATTCTGCTTGTTGTTGTCTAGCGTTAGTTCCATATCAGTCATATATCATCATATATAATCTCTGTTCTCTTTCGGAGAAATATTCTAAACTGGTGTACACTGGTACAATATGTTAGAATGAAATTAACCATATTTGTTTCACTCCAATTCATAGCACCAACGCGCGCTAGTAGAAAACATTTTTCGAAAAAAGAGCAAACCTACATTGAATTTACTGGTATAAATTTAGATTATGAACTACTAACGTTATTAAAACCTCAGAGTTATTTAAACAAACTACTAATATGACTGTATAACTTTGTTAATATAGTTAATACAGATTAAGTAAATTGTAAATGCAATTTAACACAGTTATAGATTACATTTACCTTAATCTCCATTAAAAAACTAAATTCTAATATATACATAATTGTATATATTAGATCAAAATGTTCGTAATACTACAAACTTTAAAATTTAAGCAACTGTAATTTCGAGAAAAATAAAAATTAAATTTTAAAAAAGATTTTAAAACTTAAAATTTCTACTTTCGAAGAAGTATTGGATCAGTGCAAAAGTTCGTGTCAGATTTATTATTCAAAGTTCAAACAGCTGTAATTTTGTTAAAAATAAACGAAATTTAAATTTAAATAAAGGATTTTAAAACTTGAATTCTCTATTTTTAAATGGTCACTACATTTTTTGAGTTTATGTGAGTTTTGTAACTTGTACATATAGAAAACTAAGAGTTGAAAAAATGAGAAGTTTTCTTTTCACTTTGTAAGTCTATAGCGTGCCCAAAAGAAATTTGAGAAAATGTTCGACTCTCTATCGTAAAAGTTTGAAGCTTTCCCTATAAAATCGTTGTTTAAAAATGTTCCTACGATTTTTTGTTACTGAGTTGCTGCAAATTAAATAAAATAAATATTTCGACTTTGATTGCTCATAACTCTAGCAAAACCATCAATAATTACAAAAAAATAGATTCTTAAATTCTCTTATCAGATAGAGTAAGATTTAGATTTTATTTTATTTTTAACAAAAATAGCAGCTGTTTGAAGTTTGAATAATAAATCGAGCACGAACTTTTGCACTGAACCAATACTATGTCTTTTAAGTTGCTGTGAGTTTGGTAATTTTTATATAGTAGAAAACTACGAGCTGGACCAAATGGGAAATTTTCTCATTTTGTGGGCCTATCAGGTGCCTTACAAAAAAAGCGTACGGCAATTAAAAAACAAATTCTTAAAACCAAAACTTTGCTCTATCAAATGTATAATTGATTGCCAACATTTTT